GAGCAGTAGTGGAGTGGTACGTAGATCTGCTATAACCTCCTCAATATGTAGCCGAAAGTAGGCAGCACAATCCTGGATCCAATTTTCTCATAGTGGTATAACTGCAGCGCAACCCATCAGGGCTTGAGTTTTTCCGCTATATAGCAGGAAAATACAAGGGTTGCAGCCTCAATTTGTGCCAAAAACCTCTTTCCAGATCCTCCAAAAGCTCCTCCCCATCATATAAACTAGATCTCAGACTACTGACACCTAGTCTTTTGTCTCTAAACTTCAAGTGTCAGCACTGAGTACATATGTGTGTACCTAGAGACTAACTTGTAATATATAAAAAACACATAACATGCCTAATTACATGTAAATACAGCCTAGAATATATTTGTGAAATGTGAATTTGATCAAACATATAAAAACACTAGCCAATTGGGCGGCGGGCGCCGCCTTGGTGGTTCCTCCCTGTGCCTTTCAAGTATTTGCAACATGACTCCTTGAGTCATGAGGGACTTCCCTCTAAAAACAGAATCCTGGTTAAGAAGTGAATTATTCCGGCTCAAAGATTGATAGATTGGTTGCTTTGTTTTGCCTCCTTGTATACACTCCTCAAAGTAAAACAAAACAGGAAAAGCAAGAAATTGTTACAAGCACTTGAGCTTTGAGTTCCTCAATTTTTCTTTTAGGTGATCCATAAGTGGTCCTCTTCATCAGTTTCTGAGTGGTGGACCTGCTCATAGCCTGTTCACCCAGAAACAGGTTGCAAAGTCCAACTACGGAGCATTCAAAAGTAGGCCCTTGCCGCGTCCCCAAAGTTGAACCCCCGTGGGACGGGGAACAGGGAAAGCCGGGGATTCCCTGAATCAATCTTGGAGAATCAAAGTCAGATGAGTCAGTCTTCAAACGACTTGTTGTTCTGTCCACAGGTGGATAATGAAAGAGTTGTACCTGTATTGGAATCTCATTCAATCAATCTTAGAAAAAAATTTAAAGGAACATCAACTTTCAAGAAAATCATAATGAACCTGATCCATTATTAGAAGATACATTGAATCAAAGTATGTTTGGAATTCCTGATCCATTAACTAACGAAAATTTCTCAAAAGTTTTCAATCAAATTATTAAAAGTTTTAAATCATCATTCATCTAATAGGAAAACTTCATTTCAAGAAATCTCATATAGAAACATCTTTGAAGTTGAAGTTGAAAACAGATCGTGTCTTGGAGGTAGAAATGGTGGTGGTAGTTCTTGAATAATATGTGATTCTAATGATCCCTTCCACTCGATCTTGATTGGAATAAACTGACATTGATGATTGGTGATTGGTGAAGGTCTTTTGTTGTGCAGTTGTTTGTTCTTGTTTGGTGAATTTGCGCTATTCCCTGAAAATACCAAAATAATCCCCAATCCCAAAATTTGGGGACTGGAAGTAACCGGGGCAAGGGTCTATTCAAAAGTGCAAGTTCCTATAGAGGCATGGGGAGCTTGAAGTTTGAGCATATATGTAATGGGTTCTTCAAAATTGTATTCTGTTTTAAACAAAGCTGGTTTTTTGTTGTTATAACTAATGTAGAGATGTTGGAGCAAATATATCCCACCAACACTAATACACTTTGATGAAAAAAGTGTACAACACATCCAAGCGCACCACAGGAGCTATATTCCACACCAAAGCACACTACAATGGGTCTCTTGGTGCCTGATACATTTCCTGATGGTAACTTGTAGTCCATGAGGTTTTGGGGCCATTTTTTGCAGGTTTGAATTCAACACAACCCCACAATGGGCCCCTGGCGTGAGTATATCACACTGCTGCAATCAGGATAGAGAAAAAACACTCCAGAATAAAACTTTGATGGAATGGAAATGAGCTACAAATCCAAGTCAACAGTTTGTAGTGTCTTTCAATTCTTCAAACCTCAGGAGCCCAGTGGCCAGCCAGACAAACTCACATCCTACCCACAGGGATCACAGTTATGAAAGCAAATCCATCCTCCAAAGGTGAAAGGTACAGGGTCCTTCTGTTGAGCACTTGTTTATCTTTGACTTGCCATGGTTCACACCTGAAAAACCCAACCATATAGTACCTACCTCTCCTTGGAATTGATCAATATCTGAAACCAAATGGATGATGAAGATATCAAAAAATTACAATAGCTCAACATGTTGATGAGAGATGCAATGTGTTTGACTCGCCTGAGACAAAATATACTTCATCTTTCAAGTTCAATGATAGTTTTTATGGTTCAAATCAAGTCAGCACAATGACTGTGCTCTCCAGATTCATTTTGATTTTATACAATTCCAAATTAAATTTGAGATGCTCTAAACCAAAGTAAAGAATCAAACATCAGAGCAGGTCTCATCAGCAATTTTGATGGCTTAAATTAACTTTGAGTTGGGCCCTCATTTGGAATTACATTAAAGAATTCAGGTGAATGGCACATCAAAGCATGTAGTTGGATGCCTTTGTTTTGATGAGTTGGAGCTTGAAAATTCAGAACAACAAATACAACCGGAAAAGATGAATGAACATCAACAGGTTTTCAGAATCAAAGTTGTTATTTAAAAGGTCAAAATAAGATCCAAGTAGAACCATTTGATGTTGTTGAAAGAAAATAATAAGTGCTGATGCAATTGGAGAAATGTCATAGCAAAAACAAAAAGACTAACATCTCAGATTGACTCCACCATCTTTGATTGTTTTTCACCTCGACCACCTGCATCAGTCATCATGTTTGGTTTTTGTGAACAAATTAAACTTTTGCATTTTGATGGGGCTTTGATAAGAGCACTATTGGTCAACTTTTAAAAAACAGAGGTCAACTTTTGAAAAACCAAGGTCAACTTACAAGATCAAAGACACATAATTTATTGAATTCTCAATCCTGCTCTATTACTACTTTAGCCACAACATGTTCTTTAACGGCACCTAAATTGTTGGGTGTTGGTATACCTGAGATCTCAGCAGTAATCTCTGGAACGGGAAGGGAAAAACAGGAATTGATTAAATCTTGTAGTTGAGAAGCAGGTAAAGGGAATTAAGGTGTTGACATTTTTCCCATGCAAGTTTCAAGTCTAGTGATGCAATTAAGTGTGATGGTTGAGATGGCTTTACAAAATGTTCAGAAAGTAAGGTTAAGATATTGGATCAAAATATTTCTCTCTTAGAAGAAAATGAAAAAAAAACATTGATTAGCCAATCAGAGCAAGGTAGCAAAATGCAAAAAAACAAATAACAAAAGTTGAAAAATTAATCTAGAATAAGGAACCTTTTGATTTATGAAAGACCATGACACTACAGACTAAAATTTCAAATACTTGCTTTCCACCACAATTCTAATCTGATTCAATCAAATTTGAATTTGAATTTTCATCAAAGTGAAGCAATGAGTTGACCAATTCTGATCTTCCATGCTCTGAAACAAATTGATAATTGAACTTGATACTGTACCAATCAGTTCATTGACATGTGCAATATATCCTCCAGATCCAATTCTGGCTAAAATTTCATTTGATACAAAGTATTGATTTGGTTTTAGCTGATAGGTTTGCACTTGAAGTTTCTGGATGACAAACACAACTGTGATTGAATAGAACAATTCCTTTATCAGGCTTGTTTGCTTTCATATCAGCAAGAAAAATAACACTGACTTTGATTGAATTGAACTAAGTGCTGATCGCACCCAAGACAAAGTGAGCCATGTCAATTCAACCAAACATGAGGAATGTAAAAGACTCCCTCCAAGTAAAAGTGAACTGATTTCCTATTCAAATTGATTTTGACTCTTGTCATGTTAGTTGCTTGATTCTTGAATTCTGCAATTAAACACAATCTTCACTTGCTCTACAATTGTGACCAAACAGTGTAGTTGTTGTCTAATCACCAATACACAAATTGAGTTCAAGTTACACTTCAATCTACTACTTCTGTTGATTGATTGGGACACATTAGTACATTTCCATCTTTTAATTCTTTTGATTACCTCCAATTTCTCTCGTAGAATAGAAAGCACAGTTTCGAAATGTTGAAGAGCAGATTCTGGACTATTGGCCAGCTGAGCAAGATAGAGATGAACGGTAGCAGAATGATATTGGATTTGAGATAACAACATGGGATTATTGCCGTCAATAATGATTCAGCGGATATCATCTCCACATCACCTGAAACATGTGTCTTGACTTTTGTGAGATCTTCCGTACTGGTTTCTTTGGCTCGATTTTTACTTTTCAGCCACATCATCATCCTCAAAGAGATCTTCTGGCTTTGTTGTATGCCTCGCATCATGATAGATTGTATCATGAGTAAGTACTTGATCAGGTCCGAGAACAACAAAAAGAAAGAATCAAAAAGGGGAGAAAGAACATTTGCAAGGTAGGATCGAGCTACTTGAAATTCCTAAAGTAACCTTCTCCACTGGTGGATAGGACACCACCGGTACTAAAATGTGGTTGGGAGGACTGAGATGGACTGAAACCTTTGCTGAATGATAGGCCATGGGAGTTTCAAAGATGCTGATCGCATCTCTAGCTAAGACTGCATCTGATTGATCTCAATCTTGCCATATTCTCCATTGTTTTTCTGACCAATCTTCGAGCACAGCCATCTAAAGAAGAACCAAGAACGAAGAGAAGAAAAAAAAGTTTTGGAAGAGAAGCGATTGATCAAATGATTAGAGGAAGAAGTTTGACAAACATTTTTGGGATTGTAGCCTGGAATCTTTCCAATGTGTTCCTTGACTGGTTGGATAGTAGATTCCTTTGGTAGCTCATACACAACCTAGAGACGAGGCTTGATATGGTCAAGAGGGATGAAGAAGACCATTCCTTTCGGTTTCTTGTTAACAGGAAGTTGTAGAGTCCGATTTGTCAAATTTGATGGCAACCTAAAGAAACAGACGAACAGTAGTAATCGATCAGGATCCACATGAAATGGTAAAGAAGATATGGATTGTAAGATGGTAAAACAATTGACCTTATCACAATCAGGACAAACCAAAGTACTTTTATACTATCCTTGAAAGAGATCTACAATCACACCATCATTCCTTCCTCTATATAAGTTCCAACAAGTTTCAGCCAATTTGATTAATTCTAAATCACTGTCACCATGTTGAAAATCGGGAACCTCATCAGAATGCTTCTTAAGAACTCGATTAAGATCTTGCAGTAAAGCATCTAACATAAAGATTGAAAATTCTCGTGAATTGTGTTGACCATGAACTGAAGATAAAGAATTAAACCTTCCAATGATTGATTTAAATTATCTCGATGCAATTGATGAAGAGCCGAAGCATAAGATGCTGGAGATTGAAGTGTGGTGATTGAACCTTCTTTATGTTTAGGATAAAGTTTATTGATATTGGTCATTTGATCCATTTGACCTAACAAGGCTCGCCATTGAATACTGGAACCGTGGTTTGTCGATCTGAAGCGCCCTGATTGAGTTAAGATTGATCAGACTTGATGTATTACCAATCAATCACCATCATGTGTTTGTTGCTCAATGACTGAATTTTTGTCTGGATCAATTAAGAGAGCTTCATTCAGATTGATTTGATCGGATTCAGGATTAATTGGTTTGTTTAAAAGGCTTGAGAAATCTTGAAGGTTGGGAAGGTGGATTGGATAATCTCCAAAGTCTTGTGGTCTGAAAAGGATCGGATCAAATAGATCTTGGAAAAGTGAATGAGGTGAGAAGGGATTGTGAGAGAGGATTAACTTACAAGTGCATTGGCTAAGGGGGGGTAAGGGTGAAAAAAAGGGTGAAAACCAGGTTTTGCCCAAATTTTGTCCAGTTTTGGGCGAACTGGGTTTGATGATATGATATGATTAATTACAATCTAAATATAAAAACATGCAAGAATCCCGCATTAGTACCTTTGGATTCTGTTTGCCTGTGCTCCACCCCATATGATTATCAGCTTTCTTTTGTTAATTTTCAACTGTGATTTGTTCCATTGATTTTTGTATGTAGCACATTCTTTGTTTCTGTTTGAGTCTTTTATTTAGTAGTGCTTTTTGTAAGAGTTCAAATATTCATAAGGATTTTGGTAAAAGCTTTGTCAGCAGTTGTGGAAACCCCTCTTGTGTCCCAATGCTGTGTGTTCTGAGGTTCACACTTTTCCCTTGTCTTGAGACATTTTGACATGTTGTTTGCTTATATGTGGTTTTCTCCAAAAGATTATCTTTGCCTCTGCATTGTTCTACAACCTACTTGTCATTCTTCTCAGTTTGCTTTGTTATCCTTCTTAGTTTCCTTTCAAAATTTGTCTTTCCCTCACCACGTGGACTGCTTTTGAGCTGTTTTCCCTTCAATTTTTTTTGTGATTTTGAAAGTTTCACTACAAAAGTCATAGTTCTTGCTTGTGTCTTGCTTAGTTTTCTTTGCCATATAAACTGGTCATGTTCTACTGAATCTGGAGTATATTTTACCTTGTCCAATTTTCTTCTACCCACAAACCATTGAGCATTCAAACGTTGACCAAACTCACCATCAATTATACAAGAAATCAGCCCTGCATTATTGCTTATTCTGTAGGATTTTTTTTCACTTCCTGCATCAGTCCAGCTGTCTTTTGCAGTGTGATCTCCCTCAGCTTTTTCTACGCTTCCATCTTGCCCAGGTCGTTAAAAAGTGTTCAAAAGATACCTAAAAATATGCTTTATTCTGTGTTAAGTTGTGTCAATTGCAGTGAAAACCATAACTAATTAGGTTTTGTTATAGCTGCTAAGTTATAAGAGCATCCACAGTGGTCAGGCCCCATATTGAGGCCCCAAATCGACCAAACCCAATTTTAGTGGGGCCCTAAACCACTTGGGATGCAGTGGTGTGGGCTCCAAGTTGGTACAGAGCATGGGTTACACATACTCTGAGGCATAGTATGGGTGTGTTTACACATGTGAAGTATGGGGTTTGGCAAGTGCGGCAATTTGGGGCTCGCCGCTATTGTTGTCAAATCTGACAAATGAGGGTTAAAATTTGGAGTCGGCCTGAAATATATTTAGCAATAGGGCCCTCCATTGCAGCAAAAATCCAGGGCCCTATTGCTATATTTTGCAATAGCCCCAATTTGGGGGTTGCCACTGTGGATTCTCTAAAACATTCAAATGGTTCAAGTTCAAGTGTATCCCAGTGAAACTGTGGCAGGAATTCCTGTCTGTTCTCTAGTGTACTTATCTATGTACACTCAAAACAGCATGTAATATGTAATAAAACAACATTTACACCTCATGACTCAGTGTCAAGAGTCAAAATGTTTATACTACATGACATACTTAACGTGCTTACATGTAATTAAGCGTAACTAGTAATTATAATAACAATTAATAATAAAAGCAGTGGACCATTGAAGTGTTATAGACAATTATAACTACACTGATCCTGTCAGGGTGGCTATACTAAACTGAGAATTAAAGATCTCAAGAACTTACTCAGTGAGGTCCCTGACTAGGTATTCCGCTGGTTACGGGGAATAATCAATAGTTCTAACCTAAATGTCAGAAAAAGAACGCACAATATGATTAATTCGTATTGCTTATAAAAATTGAATCCTTGAAGGGATTTCACGGGCCTACTGTTAGATTAACAGAAGTAGGATGGTCAATCCTAGACCCGTTTTTCTCTAAAGCTGGGGAGCTTAGAGTGCCTGGTTATCCTAAGATAACACAGGGATCTTGTCCAACTTTGCGTTGCAAGAACTGAAATGTGACCAAAGAGAATTCACTTACTAAGTAAGCAAAGAAGTGTTACGTTGGAAAATCCGGATTGATTGAATTAATAGAAGTGGTTTCGAAACTGGGTCGCTGAAAGTTTTTGGCGAAGGAGTAATCAGAAAGCTACTAGTAAAATAGACAATGAGAATTTTCTTTAGTTAAGCAAGGGGAGAGCAAATACGTTTATTGCACAGTATCTAAAAGCTGAACTGGTGAAGTTAATAACTGATTCTGGAAGTGGAATAATTTAGGCTTTTTAGAGAGGGGCTACTTTAGTTCTTAGTAAAGGAATCTAAAGATCTACTAAAAGAGAAATATTACTGGACTTCAGAGGAAAGATATAACTAAAGGTTATTCTAGTTTTAGGTGCTGTGTAATTCGATGCTTTTCTTCTGATTGTGAGTCAGGTATTTTATACCTTTTTGATTTATTAGTCGATATTTGCTTTTTAGTCAATTCGGACGGAGATGTTCCTTGCGAGAGTATTAGTATTTGGATCTTCACGTCTATTGCTCCTTTCGATAGAGTAATAGTATTAACTACTTTAGTAATCAATCCTTTGGTAAGTCATCTGATTACTTCGATATTTTCTCATCATTACGTACCGTGATCACTGATAGTAATCGTGGAGTTCTTGGGTTTACGTAACCTGATCCTTGGTAGTTATCGTGAATTTCTTGAGTTGTGTAATGTCGTTTTAAACACTTAGATCATTGATAGTGATCGTGAAGTTCTTGGTTTTACGTAACCTGATCATTGATAGTTATCGTGAAGTTCTTGGATTGCGTAATGTTGTTCACACGCTTATCCTTCCTCCTACCGAAGTTCCTGGTTCGCTATCTCAATGGTAGGTATCTTCATTAGTCTTTGCTTGGCTATTACCACTGTTTACGTTATTTCTCTCTTTTACCTAAAAGGCGTGTTCATTTCAAGACTTCTCTTTTAATGATCTTTCTTATAGTCTTTTTCCTTATTCTTTGGCTCTTATTTCGTCCTGAGAATATGTCTTTAGGTAATATTTATGTGTTCTTTTCTAGACCTTTGAAACTAGGTCAATTAAGGTGTATTTATTGAATCTTTGATACTAGATTCTTAAGGTGGACATATATATATTTTATGCTTTTCGTGGATTATTATATACAATATTATAGGTTCTCTGACTGAAGTCCTTCTGGTGTTTTAGACTTAAACACTCGAGGGCTGACAGATCCTTAGAGAGGAGAGTATATAAACCTCCCCTCTCTCAGCCTTCAAGCAGACCCCCCAAGCCTTTATCACACAATACTTTTAAAGAACAACTAATTCATATTGAAATATATCATCAATATTCTTATAAATATAGGAAAGGAGCTCCCTGAAGAAGAGTAAAAGTACAGCTTACATTCTGGATCCTCTACTTAATCAATCTAGATTGCTGACCTCTGACAACCCCAAGATAGTGACCTTAAGAATAACCTTCATATTGGTGACCTTGAGAAGAACCCCAAGTTGGTGACTTCAAGAAGAACCAGTCTAGTGATATCTACCTCACTCTTTACTCTGTTATACAAAGATTAAAGGAAGGTCTTGCATCCAACTGTCAGCCCTGAGCCCTGTGTACAGGACCATGGACTAACATACACACATATAGTAATATGTCACTTGTCTAAAACCATGATGATTACACCTCATGGGTCAGTATCAAGAGTCACTTAAGCAATAAGAGTAGCTATACCTTAAATAGTAACATAAAACCTAACCCAAAGAAGAGCAAACCTAAGTGCCAACCATTATTTGGCACCTAGGTCTTGGAATATATAAACCTCTTTTCCTCCCACTTTGGAAGAAGAACCAACTTCATATCATTCCACAACACAACTCCACAACTTACCTGATTCTTCACCAAGAATATTGAGTAAAGTGATACTGTTGTAATTTGATTATCATAGTTACAGCTGTTTCAACGAAGATTGATTTTTTTTGAAAATCTCGCCAATGTGCAAAACCCGGGTTTTGTCCTGTTTTGTCCCTCACCCGATTTTGTCTCTCCGCTAATTGGAAGAATACAGAAAAGAATAAACCTGTAAATTGAGTTTTGTCTCTGGTTTTACCCGCTGCGGAGACAACTTTCTCCAACAAAAGTTGTCAACCTTTCTTGAAACAGCTGTACTTTCTTTGTTCAGGTTATTGTAAAACCTCAAGTGGTGTTCTGAGCTGGTGGGATTAATAGCTTACACAACAAGCTTTAAATTTACAAAGATCACCTCATGAAGAGTCTAAAGTACCCAGCGGCACATCTGATTCCTCAGAGTATGAAGCACTGCAGGCTTCAGAGTTGTAAGATCAGCCAGAGATCAGAGCCAGATCCTTAGAAATGAAACTCAGCCATCCCAATGGCAGCAAATCCTCTTTTTAGAGGTCAACTAACTGTAGTTACTAGTCTTACTTCACCTTTTTAGTGAAGAGTCAGCCCACAAGTTGCTGACCCCTCACACCAACCTTCATCAATTATAACATTTATTAATTATAATTATAACCTCCTTTTAAGGAGTCAACTAACTATAGTCTGTCTGGATTTGTCCAAACAGACTGCTGGTTCCCTTTACCTTCTTTCTTTTCCCCCTAGTCTCATTTGTAATTAGTATTTATCTGCAATAAGATCATATATATTAACAAACATCAACCCATTAGTGAACATAGAGGACTTTTAAAAATTTCACTGCCTTCACACTAAGTATATGTACAATTTCAAAAGCAGTGTACTGAGGACAAAAGTGTTGAAATTTGATTGTGTTGCCTTGCAGCAATAATATGCAATTTCTACAAGTAAATACCATGGGAAATTACACTAAAGGCAGAAACTTCAAGAGCCAACAGACAGAAGGTACCTTGGATTCCTTAGTTTTTTTAATGATAGTTTGAAGGGACTCAGAGAGGCAAACAAAGGTTTTCTTTGGTTCAAGGTCTTTCACAAATAGGTGAAAAAATTTTGTAAGAGGGCCAGTTTTCACCAGCCAAAGAGTAATCCCCTCACAAGTCAAAATCTGCATTGTATCCCTTAGGGCACGTTCACTTAAGGAATTTCTGACCAGAAATCACATTCTGTAATTTTTTTAATGCAAAAATGTAACGTGCCCCACCAAATAGACATTTTAAATTTTGCAGAATGTGATTTCTCACCAGAATTTGCTTAAGTAAACGCGCCCTTAAGCATGCAAGAGTCAGTGTGGAATTTTCTTTAGACTTGCAAATAGCTAACCTAACAAAGTCCCTCTTGACAAGCAAGTCTGTGAGAGAGGCACTTTGTCAACCTGGAGAGTAAATGCACTTACTCCTTATATGGACAAGCATTTTTTATTTACACTTTCTTGACACTTGTACAAAAGTTACAAGAAAGACCCTCACATCTCACACTCAAGTTTCAAGAGTGGAAAATATTAGCCAAATTCTTTTTGAACAAGACATTTAGGGGATACAAAGTTAAATCTGGGATTTTTTTCCCAGTTTCCCAGTTTTTGTTTTTGGCTGTGTTTGGTACTTTCCCACGCTCTCCCAGTTTCCCAGTTTCCGTTTTTGGCTGTATTTTGGAAACTGGGAAACTGGGAAAAGAATCCCAGATTTAACTTTGTATCCCCTAATTGTCAGATTAAATTTAGTAATCATTAAAAAGGCTTACATATTTGAAATGTAAACAAGCAGGGTCTAATAAGAAAAAACCCTACCAAGTTAAACCAACCAGGCAGGGCCTAATATAAACCCTACCAAGGAGAACGTTCTGTAATGAAACAAGGAACTCAGCCTAGTCAGGACAGAATTTGAGACCTGACTAAGCTAGTCAAAGAACTTTATTGTGAATAACAAACCTTTAAGCTGTGACAGAACAAGTATAAATAAACTTCTTAGTTGACAGAAATAACAAATTGACATTTTATACTCACACAACAGATTTTAAATCACCAAAGCATTAAAACCTTTTTAAAAGTCTTTTATTCAACCACCACCAGCCAAATACTTATGAATTAGAACAAATAGCAAAATCAGCTCCTACCTTCTATTTTATCTGCTCATTGTGGGTTTGGTTTAAAACATTCTTGATCAATTGTCCAAGCCTTGATCCCAATTTATAGTGTCTGCAAGTTAGTAACAGATCAACCCACCAACTTTCCAAACTTTGTCAAATATTATTCATAGACCCAAATATCTGAATAACACAGGGTTCCACTCTAAGCTTTCAGTATACAGTAGAATTACTACCCAAAGATAGGAGTAGTTATGTACCTGTCTTCAGAAGACCTTGAATAAATCAATTCTTATTGAGCGAGTACTCTAGGTTAATCTTTCCAAAGGATCTCTTCCTGTGAAACTAACAGCTTGGCTCAAATTTATTCAACAGCAGTATTGGGATAGCGTGTTGTAACAAAGCTCATAACAACTCCTTTTCCTAAAACGCAAGCTAAAATTCAACTTCTAGTCTTATAAGGTCTAACCTTTTAGACTCAGGCTGATAGACTCATGGGTTATCCACAAAATTTGGTGTGTGGGCAAGGAAATTTTGGCTGAGGAGTTTTTCACCCTGCCATAATGTATTACCATACAAATAAACAGCCTTCAGACCAGAGATAGATTCTGTGTGCCGCTCAACCTACACATAGTGCTACTTTGGAATATCTCTCTTGGTTTCAGCAAAACACTATAGAAAGACTTGAAAAATGGGCTTGTGTGTAACATCTCAGCTTGTCCAGTATGAGCTTTTGACAGGTTGGACAGCTTTCTTGGGTAATTGGTATTTTTTGCAAACTTCAGCCTTCTATTGCTTGGCTATAATTGCATCAAATACGCAGTGAGCCATGTGAATGTACGGAGGCTGAGCAGGCGCACAGGTCAGGTTGTGGGCGCGCCGCGGCGCGCCTAGGCGTCAAAGAAATCCCCAAAATTGGGGTCGGCGCGCCTTACCAAACAACGCACCGGATCTTTGGTGTTCTACGTCCTGTCACCAATATTGGAGACCTGGATCCTTGCTGTGAGCTTTAAAGCCAGCTCTTTTTAGCTTTTCTCACCTCCAAAAGGTAAGTTTGTGGTGGTAGATGGCTCTAGCAATACAAACGTAGTAAATGACATTGTACAAACACCATTTCCGTTGTCGGCAATTTTTTTTTTGTAAGAAAACCTAAGAAAACGCGCGGGGCGCGCCAAGTGGCGCCCCGGCGCGAAAAATTACACAAAAACGCGCCTCGGCGCGCCTACAAAATTAACAGCGCGCCCCCAACCTGACACGCAGGAGCTTCCTTTGGTCCAAAGACTGTTTGTTTGTAGGGCAAAAAGTTATGGCCGGTTGAAAAACTCCCCAGCCAAAAGTTTCTTGCTCACACATCAAATTCTGTGGATAACTCATCAATCCCTCTCTCACAGGCTCGCTCGCCAAGAGGGACTTTGTTGAACGGTTATTGCAAAGCAAAACACAGGAGCTATGTATGTATATGAGTCTCAGCGTTGGATATGATCCGAGGCACCGGGCTTTACCGGGCTCCGTAAGCCGGTCGGATATTGGCTGTCCAAAAAATGGACGACCCCGTGCATATCACGAGTCTACGTGAACACCCGAGGCGGGCGGTGATCCGGAGAGGATGGACCGGTGCGAAGTCCTGAAGCAATAAAGATGCTGAGCGCATACATTTTGATCAAGTTGAGATTGATCGGTCGATTGCCGTCGAGAATCAGAATAGCCATCATCCTAATACTCAAATCAAATCAAATCGATCAATGTACTGGCCAACTGGATCAGCTTCAAGAATCTCAATCTCAAGTACTTTCACTTTAGATAAATTAACTCATCCTTCAAGAAATCAAATTGACTCTCAAGAACCTCAAGCTGATGAACTACTTGGTATCACATCATGTCCCCCTTTCTCCCTTGCACCAAATGGACTCTTTGCCACTTGGACTCTTGACGAACTCACAATCTGGTCCACAAAACCCAAGGCTGTAGTAACTAAACTTAGGCGATCTAAGCAGAATGTTGAAGACTTGGGCAAAACTTGTGAAGTGAAATGGAAGACAGGGGAGACTCCTATGCTGATCATTCTAGTTAGTTTTCTCTTGTCTCGTAGTGCTCTGAAGGGACTCTATGAACCAACGCTTTAATTCTCTCGGAATACAGACGACGAAATCCAACTTGCTTATCTACGATCTCACACCACTTACGCCGTCCTCAAGTACCGTTTACAGCTTACCCCCCAATCTCTCCAACTCATTCCTGCTCACTGGGCCAGCAGAGAGGGTACCGTTCCCCAAGCTTGTCTTGCGTTATCTGGGTGAATTCTTGCGCCGAACTGAGGATGAACATATCAGTTGGTTAGTAGAAAGCCATCCAGCCTGGATCATCTTCAACTCATTTGGATGCAGATTTTGCAATCATTATCTAAGAGTTTGATTTCTCATAGCTTCGAACCGAGTCCCACTCATCTTTTAGTGTGTATAGCACGCCCTAGCTCCCAATTGAGATCGTTACCCTGGCCATCCAGTGTCGATTCGCCCAAGTCACCTTTTAGACATGCGACCGATCAACAATCATATCAATCGCAACCATCTAGTACCAGCTATCTTGGTAACTTGGATTGGCTTGTCAATCGCTCAGGTAGGTAGGCAAGCTTGAAATCCCTCGCGTATCTCAATCTTTCAACCGACAGTCAATCTTTATGCTGACTTTCGATCATCTTCACGTAGTCACTGTGGTCTCGATCACTTATTCTGGTCCATTGAGCCTCTACATCTTCGTGACATCCGATGGCCGTGCATATCTTGTTCATCGTGTTCACTCTCCTCCGACACCAGGCTGTATAGCAGTCGAACCCATTCATTGGGTCGGACGCTGTTTTCATTCGTTGAATAAAGACCACTCCCAATTTGATTCCTCACTTCATTCGACGCCTCCTAACCTCGATGATACCCACACACTAAACCTACCGAAACAAGCGACAGACAATAAGGGTATCGACAGTCCGGCAACTGGCGCATGCGCAATCAATGTAAGGTTCAGCTTGGTAGCTCTTGCGCTTGATCGGTATGTGCTGCATACATCCTCATCTCATTCGATCATCTCTGTGGCACTTTCAAATTGCTCTGAGGTCTGATGGCGATCTATCTTGATCAAACCTTATACCTCGATTGTAGTGGTGTAGTTGCGGTCTACGCTTTGGGCTACTTTACCTCATCTACGACCTATTCACATACACTCAATCTGGCTACAAGCCTCAACAACCTATGTAGATCTGATACCGGTCCGGTCAATATGTGCTCCTGGTCAGTAAGCTGCCCTTTTCACTGAGAGTCAATTGTAATCGTTTGGTAGGTCCTAGTCTCTTGAGTCAATTTGTCTGATAAACTTGGTGGGCTCCATACTACACATAGGACATCAGATGGGCACGCCCTCGCTGTTTCATGGAGTAACGGCTTTTCAGTTTGGTCAGTGTTTGGGCGTCTACAAGCTTGGGGAAACGGCCTACCAACCGACGAAGAAGGCGATACAGTACGTGATAACAAATGGCAGGATGTCTTCATGGGCTCAGGAACTAGTTTGGTAAGACTCGTTTTCTGGATAGTTTTTCCCTCTATTACAAACTATCATTACCGATCCTGACGTCTTTAGAGTTTGAAATGACAGTTTTGGGGACCGGGTAATTTCGAACTCTTCCTACTGACAAAGCCTCACTCAGGCACCACTAAATGGACCTGCGATGAACAACTGTTTGTTTTACCGTTTGCCAAGAGTGCAGTTACGACTCTACATTCTCCTGTTGGTGGCTTTCTTTCGGATTTGTCTTTGGTCGGGAGTATGACCACCATTCTTAGAGAGCTCATGCTCATAATCTGATTTGAAGTTGTTTGTCTTGAACAGGACAACACTAAACATGCCTTCCTTCAATTGGATGACCGAGTTTTAGCCTACCGTGGCGCCGACTCACCTGATATGTCGGTGATCAATCCCGAATCAGATGTATGGCAGCATATCAAGATTCCGTCAGATTACATTAGCACAAACTGGCCTATTGAAATGAGTTGCATTTCAGATGATGGTAAACTAGTTGCTGTGGCAGGCAGAAAAGGTCTCACTCATTTTAATTCAGTTTCGGGTAGATGGAAGTTATTCGAGAGAGAAGAAGAAGAGCAAGCTTTTTGCGTGTCGGGCGGAATGCAATGGATTGGAAATGTCCTGGTGTTTGGATGTAATGAAGGTGGATTGTATTCGGTATGCAGATTCTATAATCAACCAATTCCAATCACTGATGATCCATAGACTGCGTGTCTGTCGGGAAACTGATTGCTTTCTTCGGCCCCGCTTTCAGATCAGACTGTTTTCACGTGACAATCCATTGAGCATGTCTTACTGTCTATGTGACCATGCGCTTCCTGCACCGATCGTCTTGCTCTCGATATATGATACCTCCTTACTAGTCTACACCGGTGATAATACCTTACATCATTTTTTAATCGCAGGTGGTAGTTTGACACCTTGTGGAAGTATTGGTTTTGAGGGTGTTGTGGGTACACCGTCCAGAGTACGAGGGATGTCATGGTTAATCCCGGATTCGCAACATCGGTTCGGTGATCCATCTAACGATCTAAATCACGCCACCATCATATTTTTGATCGATGGTAAAGTGGTGCTTTTAAGGCCTGGGAAGTCGGAAGCAGATGAAGTCAAGTATGATTTACAGATCTTGGCGGATCACATCGAATTTTATTGGGCGGGACGACAGTCAGATCAAAATAAAAATACTTTGGCCAATTCGCTTTGGGGATGGGATGGTAAAAAGATTTGGGTTTGGCTGGACGCATTGAGGATCGAAGATAGCCAGTTAACGGTGGATCAGCAAGATGGTGATGGATATGCGGTTGTTGAAGGCAACTTGACCATCCCATTGAGTTTCCATCCTTTAGGTGAGTTAAATCCATCTCATCATGTGAGGTGATGATATGTTGTAGATTAACAGATGGCTTTGATTTGAAACATTTCCCTTTTTCTTTTTGTTTCGGATAGCTGTTCTGATGGACAAAGGAATCATCATTGGTGTCGAACACGAGACTTCTATTCGCAAATCATTTGACTTTGCAATGTTTCGAATCACTACAAACGTAAGCAAACTCAATGACTAAAATTTTCTTAGTGTCTGAGTCGAGCGATCAGAAGCTAGTCATTGACTTCTAACTTCCGAATGGGGTTATGAATAAATTAGACTCATCTTTTCATACACCACATCCTTCGATTTCATTTGAGTCGCAAAGAGATGACCGAAGCAATTTGTTTTGCAACTTACTATTCACCGCTAGTTTACTTTTCTCATTCACTTGAGGTTCTATTACATGCGGTTTTGGAAGACGAAGCGGATTCAAATCCGGTTGATATCGGCACCGCGGAACTCACCACTTCATCTTCTACTTCATCGCCTTTGTCTTCACCCTCAAAGTCGATTCATTTGGTAGAGACGAGTGAACAAAAAGGATCAGAAAGAGTGCTACCATTAGTAGTAGAATTCTTAGATCATTTTCAAGAAGCGCTTCAAGTAGTAGTAGGATGTGCAAGGAAAACGGATGTGAAACAGTGGGGTTATTTATTTAGTGTGGTAGGAAAGCCTAGAAATCTGTTTGAGAAATCACTTGAACAAGGTCTTTTGAAGATTGCAGCTTCGTATTTATTAGTACTACATAATCTGGATCCATTAGAACAGAGTAGTAGAGATACAATTAGGTTATATAAGGCTGCTATGGCTGCGAAGGATTGGGCAGTACGTTATCATCATACTTTTTCTATTGATAGTTCTCAGAAAAAGCTAATGATTGTCATTTCTTCATTTTGGGTTCATAGTTATGCAAAGAACTCTTACGATTCTTATTCTCATTAGATCGTACAGGATTGATTATGAAAACAGCTTTAGATGAATCAAAATCAGGAAAAGAGGATTTGTTAATGAAAACACCACCGAGTTTAATTGATGGTAGTAGCAAGCTTGTGAATGCTATTGATGGGATTGATCTAGAAGATAATGGCATGGGATTTGCTTCTCCACCTCGTCCTACTCATTTACATGGATATTATCCTTCTGTTGATCAAAAGAAGGTTTGAATTTATTTAAAAAAATAAAGGAAAAAAGCAGTGATTGGCTTGATTGATTAATTGATTAAAAGAACTTGTAGATGGACAAAGAGGTTTATGTTTGTGTTTTTATAGTTTTTATGTGTAGAAAATTGAGATGTAAGAAACAAGAATGGAGAGATTATTTATGATTTGAGTTTTCTTGTTCAATTACCAATAAATTGGTAAGTAGAAATCTTCAACTACAAACCATGACAATTTAATTAGATATGCAAGTCATAGATCAAAGGTTTCTAGGATATTGAGATTATTATCTTTGAGGGTTCCTGATTTCCTGTTCAAGCTATTTGATTGTTGTTGATCAGAAGCGTCTTCTGTCTAATCTGGAGCTATTTATTCTCAATGGTTGGGCTTTCAAAGTAAGCTGGTGCCTAGGCACAACAGAGTCTCAGGAGTTCCTAAGAGCAGCATGCTCTTTTGTTGTGCATATAACAAGTATAATTCTCATTCAAGCAATCAACACAAACATATACACATAATTGTCAAGAAAAACACATCACATATATGGGATACAAAGTTAAATCTGGTATTTTTTTCCCAGTTTCCCAGTTTCCCAGTTTTCCAAATACAGCCAAAGACACAAACTGGGAAACTGGGAAAAAAATCCCAGATTTAACTTTGTATCCCATAATAGTACACACTTATAATTTAGAGGCTTGGTTCACTGATTTAAGTAGCATTCAAGAAGGGGTCTCACCACTCGCATCAAAAACATTCACACCTGCAACTCCCTTTGATTTTGCATACTTGACTTTTTCTGTCAAAGAGGTTGGGTCATCATAAGCAATGAGAGTCTTGGTGGTTGGGTTAAAGAGGAGCGGCTACAAAGAAAGAAAAAGTGGATGAAAGAGTTAGCATCAAATCTAAATTATTTTCAAGTTTAGATAGTATCACTATGAGATTGGCTTACAGTTTGAGTACAGTTATCATAGTGACGTTCAAATCCTCCCTGTCCAGTAGTGGCATTGGGAGTCAGAAATCCACAAGTCAGTAAGTCCTTGAAAATGAAGCTACCACCTTCCAAGGGGCTATCACATCCAGTTGGATTAGGCGCAACATTCTTGACTGTTTGAGCTTGAGCTGACTTGTCAATAGGACCAAAAAACAAACTCTTTTCTTTACCAGAGAAGTTAGTTGGGTCAAGTGTTGAGCTAGATAAAGTGTACTGATTACCATATGCAGGAATACCTAAGAGGATCTGAGATGCAGGAAAGCCGGTTGAAGTCCAGGTGTTGATTGCTTGTGCCACCAAAAATTTATAGCTAGGGTCATTGCAGGTATCAAATAATGGAGCTTCAGGTCCGAAGACGGGAGTCACCACGGGGAGATAAATATCGTAGGCCATGATAGTGATGAAATCAAACAACGTGGCGTATTCTTTGTGATCCTTCAAGTATTCTCCGTTTGGTCCCATGAACCCATGGACAGAGACTGCTGCAGTGAGCCATTTGGATCCAATCGAGGCCCTGAGAGCAGTCAAGAACTTGAGTAAGTTGGTAGAGTTGTCTTTAGAGATAATGTTACCTTTGTTTCCTGGAGTGTTTGGATATTCCCAATCAAGGTCCACACCGTCAAATCCGTACTTGGTCAGTGTCTTGGCAATAGTCTTTGCAAAGGTCTCACGGTTGGAATCAGTACTAACAAGATGGGACTAGGATCAAGATTCTAGAAAGGAGAATAGGTGACAGGTGCATGTAATGTGATCTAGCTTCAAACAACCTGTAATCATTCGTGTCGTGTATGATCTACACAGCTACACTCTTTACCACCTGCAGCATTATTCCCTCATTACCATAATGACTCTCTTTACCTTCTGGAGGATTGTATATATATCTGTGGTTCTTCATGAACTCCAATTCTTTGCACTTATATATTCTTCTCACAAAAGACATTTATATTCTTTTCTTTAAAGTTTATTCTTTTTGTGACCTTTTTTCTTCTATACACATTATCTGTTTATAAAAGAAATTTTTTTGTCCCACCACTCCCTTCCCATTCACTGCAAACATTAATCAACTTCCCCAAGTGGGCAGGAAAAAATGATTGGGAGTATCATTTGTCATAAAATGATCTATCACTCCACACCTGATCCATAAACCCCACACTACATATGTGTAGCAGGCTCAGTGAATTGGTGTTTATCATGTACATACAGTTCTGCTCAGTTATCTGCTCAGCAGGATGAGTTATTCATATGTAATACATGCTGTAACTTTTTTCAGATTGACAAAAGCATTCAAAAGATGGACTACATACACTGACTCAATGTTTTGGTGTAATCTCATCAACTCAACTGCATGTAATACCCTTTCTGTTACTAAGAGATAGCTTCAAAAATATTGCCTGAGCAGCTACAGAATTATATGTAGTGAATTCTTGGGACAATTTTTTCCAAGTCAAAAAAGTTACATGTGGTATAACATGTGATTTATATATTCTGATGGGCAAAAAACTGAGCAGACCTGTATGTACATGATAGAAAACTATTTACTTAGCATACTGCACATACGTAGTGTGGGTGTTGAGGCTCAGGTGAGCGGTATTGGATCTTTCTATGACAAACTGTACTATTAATCATTTTCCTCTTCCAATGTGGGGAAGTTGAATGATGTTCACAGTGATTTTACATATACTTATAGGCCGCCCCATAGCAAACCTATTAATTGCCTTTTTACATTAGCACATGTACATATTAACTATTCTGTATACTTCTTATTCACATTGCAACTAGGGCTCTTGCCCCGATTCAGGCTAAAACCCTCCCTGTGAGTATAGCCCAAATCACTCTAGCACCCAACCTATTTTGAGCTAAAGTACTTGCTACCTGTCCATCCACCAATTGTCAATGAGACTGTGACCTGATGAGCTTTAGCAGCCTCAACAACTGCTTTGATATTTGCTTTGTTGTTGAACACAAATTCAGCTGATGGAGAGTCTGAAGTGACAGCCACAAATTAATCAATATGGTTGTAAAGCTCCCAAGGAATGCTTTCTGGGGGTAGCAAACCAGCTTGATAACTCTGCAAGGATTAAAGGAGTAAATGTACATAGCATGTCATCTTGTGAATAAAATATATTTGGAGTTAGTGATCTAGACAAGAAATATACTTAGAGGATAGTATCCTGAGACTTGAAAGCCTTTAGAAGCCTTTTTGCAGCACACTCCAGCTTCTACAATAGTGCACTGGATGATCAAGGTGAAAATTGCAAGCACAATAAACAAAGATAATTTAGAATTCATGTTGGAAGTGATTGTTTGTAAGATTGAGTATGCTGGTGATAATTTTTTTTTGTGGGTGGTTCAGAGTGATGTGTGTTTTTGTTCTCAAAGTGCTTGTGCGTATGAAGTGTTGGAAGTGGATGAAGGAGGCTCATTGGACATAGATTGAGTCACTTTAAACACTCATCCTGAACACTTTGTGAAAAGCTTTTACTCAATTGCTGATGGTGTGTGGAAAGCAGATATTGAACAACATCTGGTGATCTGAATGCCTTCATGAAATTGCCAGCTTTTGAGACATTAATTTTGCAAGGGTACGGATGCTCATGAAAGAAAAGTTTGGATTGCTATCAAAACTAAGCATTGGTGTCCAATCTTTCCAAAATGAATGTCAAGAATGATCTGTCTGTAACATAAAAAGTTGTTTAATCACAAAGGTTAAAAAAACCTTTTAAAGTCAACATAAGAAAGCTTGTCACAAAAATTCCCTGTCAATTTTGCTAGAGTTTTGCGGGTAAAGTTAGTGAAGCTTTTCTGAAATGACTGTATGTAAATGAAATGCTGACCTCCCAACATCAGTAACAAAGACTCAATGTAAATCAAATCTGATCTTAGCCATCCATAAGTTTTAAAAGCAACCAAGCATGAAATCCTGAGAAAAGTTTATCATAATCACACATCTGCAAGTCTTCATTGCAGGAGGCCTGGTCCTCAGCCTTCTGTATGTGCAATGTCTTTTTCAAATGGCCATTGAAGGTATAAAGTAAACAACTGGACTTTTCAGATAGACACCCAACTTGAGATTTCCAGCATTTTAGCAAAATAAAACATATGTATCATTCAAGTGAAGGATAACATTGCTAGAATTTTTACATCTTCAAGTGAAACTCAACAGACAATTGTAGAGCTTGACTAAAAATGATTGTGGTTCAGATGCAACACAAAGATTGGATTGAATAGACTTGAAGTCCTATAGAACCATGACTTCCAGAATAAAAGACAAGCAAATTTGAAGAATGCAAAAAACGTAAAAAGAATTGTGACTTTAAAACTTTATAGAAATGGGAATCTCACAAACTCACTATGATACTTGAAGTGAAACTGCTAAGCAGTAAGAAGTACAACAAATTTGAGAATGATTGACCACTTTTTTTATATCAAAAAAAGTCATTGCTACAGACACACAAAAATATTCTCAAAACAACAAGCATGATGACCAAAATAAAATAACTCTTAAAATAAAATAAATAATTAGGAAAGATCACATGAAAAGAAAGTTGAACAATTTTTTTCAATCTTAAACATAATGGAATGTATAAATCAGAGTAAGTGTTAAACAAATAAATAACATCATTAATTATGTATGATGAATAGTAAAGGGAAAAGATCTGACTTGTTAGTGCACCATCAACAAATTTACCTCAGATGGAATAGGACCCCGGATAGCTTCTATTAAAGGTACCGACCAAAAAGGTATCTTTTTGGTTTGAAATTTCGGCGATGTAAGTGACGAAATAAGTATGTTTTGACCACGTTGGCATTGGATCATAGCAATGTCGGAGGAAGGAATGGGAAATTTTGTAGCTTTTCTAGGCCTTCCTAGGCTATTTTTGAGTGTTAAGGACTTGCGAGGATTTTTTTGGCAAATTTTGGTAGTTTTCATTCAAAATGTTACCGACAAAAGAGGTATTCTTGGCCCTCCAGACCCTCAAATTCAGGTATGAAGGACTGAATATTTGGTGTTTTTTCATCGGTATGCTTTATAGGAGCTATCCGGGGTCCTGATGGAATAATCGAAGTTATCATCAGACTCAATTCCTCAAACAGAACCTTTCAAGCTTTTGATCCCAGATTTTTTTTTGGCGCCAAAAGATACCCTGATTCAAATCCTTGGACAAGATCTGTCCCAGGGTTTACATCCTGGTATTGCCTTGGATTCTGCAACCCAAGGCATTCTATGTTGGTGATGACACATTGGTATCAAAAGATGGTTCTGATCTTATTCCATTCCAACAATAACAAGTTACCAACATCAAGAAAAGGCTTCAAGCAATTTATGTGAAAAAAAAATCCAAAGAAACCCATGAATGTCAAGGTCCAAGCCCTTTTATGGGGATAAGGACACCAGCCAGTTCATGGGGCTTCCACCAAGATAGGGAATATGGAAATCTTCTCAAGGATCATGGATATTAGAGTTCCCAAACTTGAATCTCAACATTCCAATGAAGTGACTTTCTTGATCAATCATCATATAAATCACCACATTTCATGAATCAGATTTCTTAGTACAAAAAAATGATTAAAGGTTGATGGTGAAACCCCACCAAGTTCAATACCCTATAATCAACTTAACTCCTTGACTCTTACCTTTCTCTTTCTATCAAATAATACATCATCATCATCATATCTAAAAACACAACCAAATAAATAAAAATACTCTTTTTCCCAACAACTACATACATAGACACTACTTAGAGATAAAAGAAAACTAACAAAATAAACCAAAACAAACAAAACTTAAACCAAACTCTTGAAATCTAAATTTGCTCGTTCTTCTAAAAAAACCAAAAAAACAAATTTTACAAATAAAAAAAGTATAATTTGATTTTTCTAAAAATCAACCAATACTTATTTCTCTTTCATCTAAATTCCAACCAAAACAAAAATTTCTTCAATCAATCATTCAAAAAACAAAGGAAACAACTCATCAACAAAAATTACCAAAAACAAAAACAAAAGAAAAATAGATTAAAAATAGAATCAAAGAGGAAAAAAAAGAAAAAAATTAATCCAATCATGAGTTTGGATCAAGAGATTCATTTTCAACTTTCTTCTACTTTAAAATAATAACCTTCTTGATTAACCGGAGTATGACCACACATCTCAGCTAAACTGGCATCTATTTAATTCGAGAAAAACAAAACACATTCAATCAAGATTTCAAAACTTCAATTCAAACTTTCTCAAAAAGAACAAAACCACCCAACCAAAAAGTGAACATGAAAACTTACATTCTTCATCTACATCCACTTTTTTAAAATATTTCATTTGCCATGGTGTCCCATTGGCAACTTCTTCTTTCCTTTTACTCCTTTGTTCATTCTATCAAAATCCTTCATCAATTCTCATGACTCCCCATCTCTCTCTGCCCCCAAAACAAAAAGAGAGAAAAAAAACATCAAAACTTACCTCTAATTTTGATTTAGCAGCACTAGCACTTTCAAAATCCCCTTTCCTAATCCCATCAGCCACATCTTTCCAAACCTTACGTGATTCATAAACATCTTGTTGATCCAAGTCTTTAACTGAGATGACCAAATGTTTTTCTTCTGTTTGATCTAAAAAGATTTCTTGAGATCCTCCTGATGATTTGAAAAAACATGGAATCTCTTTTACAAATTTCGATATCCCATTCCATTGTCCTTCGATGTGATAAATCGATTTCTTCGATTCAGGTGATGAATAAATCTTAGCTATAAAAGTATGTGGTTTGCCTGAGAAGTAACCTAGGATGAAAATCAAGTTCAATCAATGTTAAGATTGGGTGTACTAAAGTAAGAAGGTATTAATTAATACCTTTTCCTTTGTAATCAATCACAGCATGATACCCAGTTGAAGATTGAATATGAGAGGTCTCAATCAATTCAACACTAAAAGTTCGATCCCCCCAAAAGAAAGAGAAGAATCACAACATCAGTGAAACCAAACGATTAAAACTCAAGAATGAAGTTCACTAACTAAGGACTACCTAACAGAAGTCCTTCGATTCTTAGTTTAGGTAACGTGACCAGATAAGATTCAACCGTCCCATCCGGTAAAGTGATTCTTACAATCCCATGTCCAACCTGTTTAACTATTCAAGATATAAGCAAACCATTCTATGATGTCTGATCTTTATAAAAGAAATCAATCATTCATACCTATCACACTTTTACCACTAAAAGAAGTCTATTTTTTTCAAAAAACAGAACCGATCGGATTAAAGATTGTGTATATGGATCGAAGAGATAAATGACTAACTTTTTGTGCACAATGTCCTTGATACGAAACTTGACTTGTTGAATTCGATAAGAAATAAGCCGATACAGGTGGATGACTAAAGTAAAAGTAAAGTCAAAGAAAACAAAAGAGATGAAAAGATTCAAGATTAAGATCTTATTGTTTCCCCTATCAAGATCAAGATCAAGATTGATCCTAGAATCAAACACAAAGAAAACAAACTGACTGAGAAACTTGTTCAGCCCAAAGTTTGATTTCTCCTAAATCTTGAATTCCATCTTTACCTCCATTCCAAGTACCTAAGAATAATTCACCCAAGATTGGATTTAAAGGTTTTTCTTTTACAAAATCAAAGAAAACCAAACATGAATATACGTTTTTTTTGAATGATTAAGAAATGAAATCTTACTTTCGGATCCAGTTTGAGTTTCACGTCTAGTAAATTGACCTTTAAGAGTAGCAATAAACCAACTATAGTTATAAACCAAAAAAGAATCCATTAAAAGAAACTCAGAAACCGGTTTTGATTTTCCTTACGATTTTCAATCAGATTAGATATTCAAACTAACCGTAAAACCAAAACCATTCGTTCTTCAGGTGTTTGACCAGTAGAGATCAACGAAAACTCTTCATATGGTTCTCCCTATTGATTCAATCCAAGATCATGATCAGCATTAAATCACATCAACGTCTTGTAATGGTTAAGAGTCTATATCGAAATGAAGAAACTAACCCAATAAGATGGAAATTCACAAAGACTTGTAGGACTAATTGAAACCCAAACCAAAAGGATAAGTTTCAAAAAAGTATTTATAAAAGAAGCAGAGACTTACCTAAGGATAAAGGAAGGAGCGGTAAGTGAACTTAGATCACCTGAAAAGGTAGCAATAGCTTTTAAAAAACTAGACCAAGAACTAGATATTAAGAAAGCAAATGAAGCAAATGAGTGAATGGTTATGGTGATGAGATTGAATGAGAGGTTTTACCTTTTCTGTTGAGTTGGAACAGCAGTAGGTTCTTCATGATCTTCAAGTGCCATGATGAATCTGTTGGTTGGATGGAAAAGTTAAATTGGCTGTCTTGGTTTGGCTTAAGTGATCTTTCTTTCTTTCTTTCTTTCAGGGTATTACTAAGTATTCTGATCTTCTTATGATTGAGTTTGGCTGATTGAGGATTAAGAGTGAGATTGAATGAAGTTCAGTGGCTGTGTAAAATGAATAAAGAACAATAATCATCAAGTTGAGTTTGTACCTTAATTTCAATTTGGTTTCCTGTGTTTTGTGGTGAGTTTTTCTTCCTTTCTGTTTTTCAAATTCTTGACTTGACTTCTTGATCGGTTCCTGTGGATCGACAGTTGATTATATATGTATTTAAACAATTCTGACGATCGAACAACTTAAAAGAGGTTCATTACATCATCAATCATTGACAAAAACTCAAAACTCAATCCTGCTCAAGCCTCGATCCGAGCCACGGAGCTCGTATATACCCGGCCAAGAAGCCGACTGGAAGCCCGTCAGGTCCGGATGTTGGGCAGGGCCTGTGAAGGTGAGAAAAACACTACACTTCTAATCTCCTCCATCTTTGTAAGAGCACAAGAAAGTAGCTGTGTGAAAACTCAAGAAATCCCCTCACTCCTTGCCAGACCTCCCACAAATCAAGGTAGTTTATCAACTTACAATCGATCCCACATCTCAAGTGAATATCACTCTTCTAGTATAAAATGTATTGTTCTTACTGTTCCTAGTCCAGAAACAAAAAAACACATGAACAATCATTTAATCAATCTAGAGTATAAAGTTAAACTTTTGAAGTTTCAATACCTTCACAAGGATCATGAGATAAACTGAAAAAACCTTTAGAGCTAAGAAGGCTTACAATAGAAAGAATGGCTGTATATCAAGGACTTTGGATTTTTCTGAAAAACAGATCATGTGGGGATTTTTTTCAGCAGAAGTTCATTTTTTTCTACCACAGTTGTGTACCATCCATTCATGAGGACTCAATGAGCCAAAGATGTTGGGGGCCTGAAGTGCATTTGCGTTTATTTCATTAGACATTTCATATACATAAAAATGACCACGGAGAGGTTTTAAAGGGGCATATTGAGTATACTGTCTCTTTTTCAAATAGAGGAAAGCTTTAATGAAAAAAAACAGTTTTTTAGTAAAATATTAATTTTGACAAAAATGTCTAGAAAGATCTCACACTTTAGATTTGAAATTGAATTTGAGTGTAAACTTTTAATAGCTTGTATGGAGAAGGAACAGTACTGGTTAATTTTGTTTTTTCATTAGGTTCTCTAAGAGATAAAATTTGAATAGATATGAGTGTTTTTTTTTGACATAAGGATGTTCAATGATACTCATCTATGCAGCTTGCATGGTACTAGACACGCCGGGCAAATTGAGGTCATGGAGTGAATACAGGTTGCGCAGTCATGTTGAAAACAGAAAACATTTTTGCACCCTGAGTCATGTCACAGCTGCATGACATGTCTTCATGTATTGCACCCCCACCAGTCATACAAGTGACATGGGTATCTGGCCCACAATAATGGGCCAATACAGACCTCATGAGAGGCTTATAGCTATGTGACATATACATCTCAGTACGTACTCAAATACATGTGATTGGTATGATTGATACAGAGTGTGTACAGGATAATGAGTCCTGCATGTGTGACAGGTGCCCGAGGTCCTGGCATGCATTCAGGACCGTGCAACCTGTATGCACTGCATGACCTGAATTTGCCCGGCGTGAGACCTGTAGGCCTGGAACCAAGAGGGATGAGCCAGCAACCATCATGATGGATTCCAAAAATCACTTTTGTTATCATCCCAATAGTATACACAGGATCATCCAATTTGCTGGTATACTCATAATCAATCTGATCTTTTTGAATGCAGGGTGAGGCATGGATGAGTTTTTAACCCAGTACCATATTGAGTGTGTAGTCCAATGGGGAACTGGTAAAAGCAAAAAAAAACTTGTAAAGCTCGACTGGGCAATCCCCAAGCAAGCAATTCAGGGAATATTTTTCCAGTATTGTTGAGGTTTGAACAAGCCAAAAGGGATCAGATAGTTTTTGGGGTTGATCAAAGGATTCCAGAGTTTTTGTCTTTTAAATTATCTTTGATTTCTTTCAAAGACCCATTGAATCATTTTGAGGGTTCTGTCCTACTGTTTTTTTCCTAAAATCTCTATGGTTGAAAGATATGAATTTCCCCCACAAAACAGATCAAGAACCTTACAATTTTGGTACTGGTAGGAATCCTGAAAGGATTAGGATCTCTGGTATATGAACTTATAGAAACCTGCAGGTATGGATGTCCTTGTGAATTACAGGATTGATCACTGATTGAGATTTTTTAGTCTTTGATTTGGAGTCAATTGTCTTTGTTTCTTCAAATGTTTCCAAACAAGAAAGATGTCACCAGGAATTGTGGTAGGTCTGACTATTGATGATCATCTTTTATTCAAAGGCAGTACAATAGTCAAGATTCAAGATAGCATTGACATCATACTTTACTTTGAGGTCAGGACCAAGCTTTGACTGTGTGCTTGAATGGTGGCTCCAACATAAACATCAAACAATACAGTAGTCCAAGGACTTTTATTGTGCCACAAAACAAAAAAACCCTTGGACCACTCCCTTCAGCCCAGGGCTGCCATCACAGTAACAGGGGATTATTAGGCTGATTTATCTTTAGTGTGAGCTTGTATTAAAGAAAAGGTCTCTCATAGATGGAAAAATATATATCACAGCAGTCATCTTACCCCCTGGGGAATCAGCTGTCTATGAGTCAAACACAAAAAAGCAATCATGTCCAAAGTAAGTTAGTTGCTTATTTAGTGATGGAGAGACAAGTTTAAATGGATCATTTTGTTTTGTCACACAACAAAAACACAAGCAAGCATACACACAAGTATGAAGAAATAAAAAAAGACAGAGAAATTGAGAAACACTACAAGAAAGTGTACCTATGAGTCAAACACAAAAAAGCAATTATGTCAAAAGTAAGTTACTTGCTCATTTAGTGATGGAAAGACAAGTTTGAGTGGATGAAGATTGAACTTGTCTGACTCGTAGCTTTATATAGGAAGAACAACCCAGCTAAGAGTTATAACAGTGCACACATGAGAATATAGAAAATATATCATATAGGACAATTAACAAACATGACCACCAAGAACCATGAAAACATGACCAATGTTGGAGATAACAAAAAAACAGACAGATGAGATCATATCACCCAACTTTATTTGTCATAATAGCAACACTTTCAGATATAGTGGTGATACTATGTAGTGTTGCAAATCAACTGATATATATGCACTATTGTAAGAACTTTGTTTGTGTTAAACTTTTATATTTAGGGGATACAAAGTTAAAACTGGGATTTTTTTCCCAGTTTCCCAGTTTTCGTTTTTGGCTGTGTTTGGTACTTTCCCACGCTCTCCCAGTTTCCCAGTTTCCGTTTTCGGCTGTATTTTGGACACTGGGAAACTGGGAAAAAAATCCCAGATTTAACTTTGTATCCCCTAATTGTATATAAGACATGAGATTGATGCATAGAGGATTGAATTGACTCAGACTCCAGAGTAAGACCAAATGACAGGTGAATAGTAGAAAACATGCAGTTTGATGGTCTTTTGAACATGAAAAAAAAGTTGTGCAAAGAAATCAGCAAACTAAGGAAGTCTGAAACTCAAATAATTTGTGGAAAAAAAAATCAATGCATTGGGTCCTTGTGATTTTCTGTATTTCTTCTTTCTCTGTGGGTTCATAGACCGTCTTGGGAATGCCTGATCCTGAAGAAGTACTTGTTAATATGTTATGATCCAGCATTTCTTGGGAGAAGTCTATATGGGAATGTTGAGATCTGGGATCTCCTCTTGGCTGATACTATCATGAGAGAAATTCTTTTCTTCTCTTGTAAGTCTTTCTGGTTGTATGGTTGTTTTGTCTTGGGTAAATTGTTTGACTGTGGATTCCAAAGGACTTAAAACTCTTCTATGAAAAATTTCTTCTGAAGATGGTTTCCAGGCATCATTGAGGTCAGGCATTAGTACCTCCAAAGGAGAAGAACCTGGTGTTTCTTCCATTGGATCATTGAGGTCAAAAGCGTGAGATATTGAACCTCTTTGTGGCTCATTTATGTCCAGGCCTGAAAGGTTGAACCACACCCATTGTACAAAACAAGTTCAATCTCAGTTGTTCTTTTTCAGGCGTTGTTTATTTGATTTTAAAAGCATCTTACCTGATGAGTTAGGCTCACTTCCTGTCATTTGGATTGAATCTTTTCTCCCTTTTTCTTCTTGTACAGATTCAGGTTGGTGGGTTTCTGAATTCTGTTTCCTGGCCATATTTGGTACATTGATTTGCTGATGCTCCAATGAAATACCTTTGCAAGTCTTAGTCCTGTGTCTCTTTTTAAATGCCATAAGAAAGTCTCTTGTTGAACCTGTTTCACCATCAATCACATAACTTTTCTTGTCATAAGGGGCTTTCACCTGTTCATCTGAAACATTCTTTTCAAACAAGACACTTGGGTGTCTGCTTGATTTCCTCTTTGGTATCTTGAAGTTTAGCCTGTCTTTGATATCTTCATCAAATCTCTTTCCTTGGACAGTAGCCTGGGTATCAAAGGATGTGGCAAAGAGCTTTGGATTATAATCTTCATCACCATCCGAGTATGCATAAGATTTTTTACGCTTTTGTGATTTGTTCTTGTATCTCTTGGGTGATTGCTTCTTGAATTTGACTGGTATCTCATTTAGCTCATCTTGATCTGGATCAAGTTTATCAACTTGAATAGAAATTGGTGACTGGTCAATTGGACCATTCTTTTGAACCAAGCTCATCTGTTCATAAAGCTTGTTCAGTGTCACAGAAGACTGAAGGTGATCTAAATAAACTCTTCCAAGTCCAAAACTAAACCACTCAAATGTCTCCTTATGTCTTAATTTTAATGTAGAGGGTATAAATGATAACATACTCCAGTAGTACATCATAATCTTGGCTTTTATATTTTTTCCATCAGGAATAGTGGGGGAAAGTTCTTTCTTGATGACCACCTCCAAGACCCTAGCTATTCTTCTGATTAAGAGATAGAACATCACACAATTCTCCATCCGCTTTTCAGACTCTCTGGGATCAGATTGCATGGGCAAAGTTCTCAATGCTGATTGGAGTATTTCAAAGAGTACTGTGCGGGCTTCAAAATCATCATCTTCAAGGTCAAGCACCAAGTTTATAGTTCTTGAGATATGATTTAACATTTGTCTATGTCTCAGACTACCATCTTTTGCGGTCTGCTTGAGGGATTTGAAGCCAGCTATTCTGCAAATATAGCGGGGAGGTTTGTGAGAATCATCTGCAATCTTGTCTGAAAGCCACAGAAGTCTTGATGAGATCTTTGAGTCTTTGTTATCAGAGAGGATCCAAAGTTTGTGGATGTTTTCCTCAAGTTGGGGCGAGCCACCACTATCTAGCTCAGCAGGGTGTCTGAAGATGGGAATTGTTAGGGGTCTATTGTGATCATATGGTGTCCTGTTGATGAGGTACCTGTGCAGCTGTTTAGGATTGGCGGAATGGTTTTCCAAAAGTGTTCTGATTTTAGGTAATGATCTTGAAAGACTTGGTGTAAGATGATTGCATATCAAATTCTTGTCCTGAATAACTGCAGCTGCTAAAATGTCAAATATTTCAATAAGTTTCATGTATGACTGATAATGTTTAATGTATTCCAGATGATCTGTTTGAAGAATCATCTTCTTCCAAACAAGTGTCCCTTCTACTGATAAATAGTTTGAAGAATGAACTTGATCTGCAATGGTGGCCTTTCCAAATTGATCGAGCAACATGTGCAAACTCAATTCTGACATGACAGCATCCAGGAATGGAGTAACAATGCATGATTCAAGTGAATTTGGTGGGAAGTTGGTTTCTTCAATCAGTCTATCAGTCAATCTATGTAATTCTTCTTTATCAACTTGAAGTTGAGATGATTGATGTTTCAATACCTCAATGAGATAATAAACCACCATGGCAAGTGGTTTGTTTGGTTTATATCTTGCCCATGCTTCAGCACGTTGAGGAATCCTATCAATTTCTCTAGCATGGATGTTTGGATTATCAAACATATCTTTGACAACTATTTCTAGAGTTCTTTTGTAAGTCTGAAAACTTTTGTTTTTTCTTACCACTACTTCAATCGTTCTCAAGTGTCTCCATGTATTCAGATGCTCCTGTTGTACAAGATGCCTGTCCACAGGTCTGATGAGCTCTTCTTGATCTGGTTTTGACAATTAGGATTGGTTTTAGATAATGATATGAGATTAATTTGGATGAAGCCATGATATATTGTACAATTGATTTCACTGACCAAAGTATGATGCTTCTGCCAATTGTCCTACATCCAGACCTCTTACATCATTGGCCTTATCAAGTAGTGAACTGACATGAATGATCAAATTGAACAGGGTGCTAAGATTGAGAAAGAAATTGGATATCTTCCTGTAATGCATTATAGGGAGGTGGTGCTGGTTGTGAACTTATATATGATGCCTAGTCAATTGGAATCTGTGGATGGGTTGTATCTTCCTTGTGAATTTCTGATTATTAGATGGCACAAGTCAGAATAAAAAGACTCTCTTAGTTTTAAGAGGGCTTCACCAAAATAGATCTTGAGCAGCAGCATTGAAACTTGTGCGTAAATCAAAGTTACAATGATTTTACAATGAGGTTCTTCAAGATTATTCAAAAGATGAATCTGTGCTCAAAATCCTGTATTCTTCTCCATTGCCTTGAGAGCCTGACCCCACCCTCAGAAATTCACCTGTATGCCTCCCAGTCATGCCACATGTCTCAGCCTGGAAGCAAGTTGTACAGGCTTTGGCAAGGGTATCTTACCAAAACTCATTTCATCTGAAATCATCAAACCACCCCTCAAGTGCTCCAAGATTACTATCACCTACTAGCAATTTGGCACCCAGCTGCCACCCAGTTTTGAGGCATAAATCCCTCTACTTGCAATTCATAACAGAGGATATAATTAACATGATTGTAGCATTGAAACCATTTTTACTCCATCCAGATGAACAGCCATGAGATTAAAACTTGCTGCCTTTCACTTAATACACTCCCAACTCTTTGAGGATCATAGATTTTGATTGAAACACTCATTTGCTACTACTGTTTTCAAAGCTCAATTATTGGCAAAGATGATATGAATAAGGGGAAATGATTGATTGAAATGGAATGCAACAATATGAGTGAGAGAGAATTGTCTGCTTATAAAAAGAGGCAAATAATGATAAAAAGAGGAAAACAATGGTAGCAAGGGTATTTTTGACAATCAAGAAACAAAAATAAAACAGAGCGATCCGTGATAAAAAAGAAGAATTCGACCATCAAAAATGAATGGGTATTTAAAATCAAAACCATCCAAGTGCATTGATTGGCTCTTTAGCAAGAGCTTCTTGAAAACAGAAAACAAAAACTGTATGACTCACCTGATACTTTAAACATCATGGATTTCACAACAGCTAAATTGGTAACAAGTTGAACAATGAGGTGTGAGAGATACAATGGGATCTTGTGGGGTCACCTGAAATAGCTATTTGTGGTTCAAAATAGAATTGTGGCTTTACATATGGCAATTGGTGTCCTTCTTTTACTTGGGACACTTACCTTTATTATATTTAACCAGATCCTTCTCCAAACTTGTGCCTCAGTTATCACACAATCTCCCTTTCCCTCTAATGCTCTGTGTTCTTATGCTGAAAAATGAGAGAATACCAAGTGATTGGTGTCTGGATGCCTCACAGATTCAAATCCTTCTCTTGATCAGAAGAATAAGCTCCTTGGGTTTATCCTTCAATCTTCCTCTCGACATTCTTTTTGTCTCTGGAACCCAAGAAAGTAGACTTTCTTGAAGAAAGTCTATGTACTTGTCTTTTTCTAGCCGTTGTCTTTTGGCATTCTCCAATGCCTCGTGTGTGATCAAGCATAATTCTGGAGTCTCAATCATACATAATGCTTGGTTCAACTTAAGGTAAAGTAGTTGCTCACGTGAATCACTCAACACATTATTGGAAAGGATTCCCTCACTGACTGCCAGACCTTTACACAGATTTGATGACCTATCAAATACTCTACACATTGAACGCATGAATTACCACCCTCTACATATGTACACTATTGTGCTCTAAACGGAGTTTAACCTCAAGCAGGCTGAAAGCTGACATACCCAGTGATTGGCAAAACAATTGCTTGACCGTCCAGACTGATAGTGGCTCTCCGTGACCGCCTCTGGCTCCACTACATTCTCCCCCAATCAGAAGAACATAATGAAAAAGTAATTTTTAGGGAAAATCAAAGCGCCGACAACTAAGAGAAGGAAAAGGTCAATATAAAATATTTAAGAAGTTGAATGGGTGTCAAAAAAGAAAAACAGGATAAGAGCTAAGTTGAGACAACAATTGATAACAACAAGAGGAGCAAAAAATTCGCCGATTAAGTATGCATCATTGAGGTCCACGTTCGTACTCTGCTTTCTCCGTTTCATGTCGTTTTTTATCACGACAAGCCATGTCCTCGTCTATGCAAAAAAAATCATAGGGGTTAGGCGCATACATCCAGTGCGGATTCGTAAAGATAATGACGATGAGACAAAGGCTTACAAGGCTTCTTCTCTTCTTCACCGAGACTTTTCCATTTGAGACCTAACAGCCGCCCAATCTCACCTAAGAATCGGAGACGCAAGAGGATTAGGTTTTATAATCCTTATCAAAGCACTTGTCAAGACACTCACCGAAGGAAACCTCGGGGTTTTCGGTCTTGATACGTTCACGCCAGTCTTGACTGAAAAACTGATCAAGCAAAGGCGAAACCAAATTCAAATTTAATGAATATATTTTCATTTTACCTCAAAGGACCGGTTGGAAAACAAACCATGTAAGCCGACAGGGGTCGCTTGGGTGCGTTTGGGTCTTTCTCCCTCTTGACTCGTCTTTTGATCGGATTTCCATCCGCGTCCAGCTTAGGCGCACGCTTGGTTGCAGCTTCTTTTGGCATTTTGAATGTAGAATGTAACTAAGGGATAGAGCCTGAAATCAACCTTGAGAAAATGGCTGGACGTCTATTGATCGAGCAAGTGCGATTAAAGGGATGAGAGGATCACAAAACACGATTAGCAATTGCAACGGATTCGAACACCAGTTGGTGGTAAGGATCGACGGAGGAGTGAAGTAATCAAGACGGGTATGAATCGGTCAAGTGGAAATCAAGTGGGTTTACTCGAGAGCACTAGACACGCCAGAGGACGAAAAAAAGCTACCAGCTAATCAACCAATTCCTCAATCGGAGCTTAGGTCGCGTGCTGTCGGAGATAAAGATGCTAATGGCGGAGGCAGGCCAATGCAAAAACGAGAGGCAAGAGAAAGCGCGTGTATGGATTGCCCATAAACCTGACGCGACGGATGGTCCAGAAGTACGGACATGTACGGACGTTGTCAGTAACTGCACCCCGCGGCTGTGAACACGTAGTGTCACATCGGTTGAGCGCCTGTCAAGAGCGGTCCGGAAGAGCTCCTGGCTTGACCGCGAGCTGGGTCTCCTGGCTTGAGTTAAACGTCGTTTGAGAGAGAAGAGGACAGGAATCATGCCAGAAACCATTTTGGTGTGACGCCTCATTCAAACGATATTTGATAGCATTCAACATTCACGCGATGAGTTGTAAGGTCAGAGATTACGGCATAGATCAGTCAAAATAGATAAGAAAGCCCGATATGGAAGATGGTCAAAGGCGAAGAGGCGAAACCGAAGCGCATTATATGTTGGCAGGGTGTTGAGTGAAGCCAAGTCCCCAAAAGGTCACAAATCCAAGAAAGAAAGAAAGATTATAATGCTCAAGGTTGTGCACATGATGAGCCCAGTGATTTGTGCAAGTAAAGAGCTACATTTCTGATTCTGGTTTGAGGAGAGTGGCAAATGAGGTGATTGACGTGTGTCATGATGACGGAGTGAACAGAAAACGAAAGAACTAGAGAAGAGAAGACGAGTACGCCTGAAAAAGGATCTGCTGGACCCAAGTGGTGAGATGAGTGAAAAGTTGAAATGTACCGACTGACTTGTATTGTTGTACTAAATGGCTTGAGAGGCAGTAGGACAGCCAAAGGGCGGAGTGGGGGTTGTAGAGTAGAGTGCGAAAAGACAGGCTACACTACGCTGACCGACTCTTGAGGATTGGGACTGGCGGGGCGGGCAGTTGTGTAGAGCGAGACTGACTGAATTGAGTGGTAAAGTGAGCGGTATAGCGGAACAAGTGAGAATAGGTGGTGGAAAATAGCACTGGAGGGAAGAGAGCCTGATTTGAGTTGAGTGTAGGGGCGAATAGACAGGGGCAGTGGGCCTTGAAGAGCAGGGGGGGTATCCCAATTGGTTCTGTGTAATTTTTAGCGTATGTGTACTGTACGTAGATAGCTGCAGCTACCAAGCGAACCGGACCCACATACCCACGGTGACACACAAGCGCGTTTCGCACGTGTGCTTGCGTATCTCGGGGCGCGCCTTTCTCCCCGTGTCTTGATTTGACCCCGTGACGGCGCGGTTTGTTCGTCGCGTTGTCAACCTCTGGCAGCCCCATCATCCATATCGAGAAACCTGGCTCAGCATAGTCGAGAGCTCCCACAATCTCATACCTTCAGATGAAGAACAATGAGCTAAAATAGAAAACACTCTGCAGTGCGAGTCTGATCAGACTTCTCAACGCGCTGCAAAATGTACAGCGCGGGGGCAAACGGGTGAACCAGAGAATTGATATCCTACATTTAAGGAGGCTTCTATCTGCTGAAGTTGTCGATACATAAACACTCGTTTGGTGAAACAACCCAAGCAAAACAAGCATGTACATAATTTACATTAACATCCTCAATTCATGCCCCGAAAAATAAATCATGGAGAGACTCGACAATTCAAAGAAAAGCTGATAGAAAACGAGGCGAAGAGGATCTCATTAAATTGAAGGAAGCCTTGATTCATAAAATGATTTCATTAAGGCTTTCTCTCCCTACCGAAATTGATTTGATCAGGATCCCTATGTATATCGGATTTTCATCCAGACAACAACACTTCAAAAAATCTGGCTCAAGAATGTAAGTTGAAAATTTGCCGCTATCAATTTGAGCTTTGTACATGAGTTGGACAGGGGTTGTGAGTTCATTCTTCGAGTAAATCTGGGTAATTTCTGACCAATCTTCTATAGTTCTTCAAATGTGAATGTTCACCTGTAAGAATAACTCTCGAATTCCTATCGCAAGTTTTTTTGGCTCTTAGCCTTGACCTCAGTGCCGTCGTCATTTGATTCCCGATTCCTACACTGAACCACACGTAATCTCTGTGACGTGGGGTCAAGATGACATTAATTATTACAAGGCAAGAAAACAATCCCTCAATAATGAACTTATTTCATCTTTAGCTGTGTCAGGATGAACCTGCTTCTCGATCAATGATCGCTAATCAGATTCGACCTCAACAGTACTTTCAGCCTCAAGGCTTTGAATTCCAAAAAGGAGGGAGTGAAATGCGCGAGATCACAATCAAAAAACATGAATCCAAACTAGAATCAACCACGGTCATATCCTTTGACTTTGACCGTCCCTTGAACTGATGTGGCTTGAACTGATTCAGCAAGCTCATCTCGTCTATAATAGGCTCAGACGCTCAGAAAGCTGGAGTCTTGCGTTAAGAGATGTGACCGTGGTCAGTAAGATATCTGAGGAGTCCCCTTTACTTAGATAAGTACATCCATGCTTCTTGTGAGCCTTTTTTTGACACGCATATCCAATCCAAACCTTGGTCAAATAGCATGCAAGGAATTTAAATGATGAGTCAAACACAGCGAGGTTAGATGTGGCGCGCCCACCACTAAGGCTGATAAAATGAAGTGGACCTTTGTACCCATGGGTTTTGTTGCGTTCATCCAGGACCAAAGACTTTCAAGATTCTTCAAGTCTTAGCATCGAAACATTTGTACCATCCAAGCTTTTCAACTTCGAAGTCATGCAGGGTGCACCGAATTGCTCTACACAGCCCTGCATCTGCGCACTGGTTGAAGGCGGTTGGGCTTTGAGAATAGTGCGGCGCAGCTCTGCCCAAATTACACTTCTCCTGATCTCTCCACTCTCAAGACCAGTTCAGTGAAGGTGAAAGGCCAGTTGACCAATTTCAGTTTGATGATCGATAGAATGCCAACTTCAACACCTAAACCGAACACTAATCCAGAATCAAACTTTAGAACTCAACTCACTGGATTCAAATGGGCAAGAGGTGTAAGTCTTGAAATAATTCTGGCAATAGTCTAGAATGAGATAAACTGATGATCTGATTGGATTGAAAAGCAGGTCACTGATGATTCAAATAATACACAATCAACTGCAAATTCAAATTTGTTTTCAAGATTTACTGGATCGATTTCAGGTTATGTACCATTAAGAAGTAATGAAAGATCAAATGAAGAAGAAGCGTAAGAACACAATCATTCTTGCTTTGTTTTCAAACTTTCCTATAAAGATTGAATGATCGTATGATATCTATTAACATCTTTGATATATTTTTTTGGCTTTAGGTATTACGCTTTATCTCGTTGGGAAAGGACAATAGGATTTTTATTTTGTATTGCAGGAGCTTCAGTTTGTTTTTTAATCGCTTTTTTAACATTACCATTACTAGCTGTAAGTTTTTTTACATTCATCAAAATCAAACTTCAATCATAAAAGTATTAATCGATTTTTCATTTTCTTTGATTCAAAAACAAACAAACCAACACACAAATTAAATTAGTTTAAACCAAGGAAATTTGCTGTTGCATTTTCTTTAGGTTCATTACTTTTTATGATTGGTTTTATGATCTTACAAGGTCCAATTCAACATTTTCAACATATCTTTTCAGTTCAACGTTTACCATTCACTTTATCTTATTTAATTAGTCTTTTGGCTACTTTTTATTTTGCAATTGGTGTAAGTTTTTCTATTGATTTCCAACCTTTTTGCATTTGCTTGTTTTTGAATGAGCCTGAAGTTGATTTGGATTTTTATTCTTTGTATGTGGGATGTTCTGCTACATTGTTGTTTAGCTTCATTCTTATCTTGGAACTCTGATTGCTGGTATAGTACAGGTCATTGCTCTGATATCATATTTCGTAGCCTATTTCGTGAGTCTTTCTCTTCATTACTTTCTAGCCTGCATAGACACAAGAGAAAGCTTATGTTGACAACTTGCTAATCCTGTGTCGATCGTTTTATCTTGATGTTCAAAATAGCCTGGTGGTCTAACAACGTTAAAATTCATGGGAAGCATGGGCCTAAGAGGTGCTACAAGTTATCTACCCATCTGATGCATACTTTTTCTTTTCCTCATCTAGACTCTCATGATCAGTGACTATCTATAGTTGCATTTATATCTAAAACACATCGAGTGAATCAGTGTGTTCCAACATGTCTCTTCAACTCCTTCTGATACAAAATATTGTCTAAAAACATTTTCATTCCTCAATTCTGTATACTTGTCATTTTTCTTCAAAATCATTGCAAACATTATTTTGTATGTCTATTTTTGAGTACAGGGAATTGACCTAGCACTTTGGGATCTATGTTTCCGTTACTACCTTAGTAAAGTTTTACAAACTCAAAAACACACCATAGAACAGTAGTTGAGATTTACAGTCCTTTGGTGAAGATATTGCATGTAAGAGGAGGACCCAGTTATGATGAAATTTCTATGGATGTGCTGATCGTTCTATATGGATAATCAATGAAATGAATCCAAAAAAGGGTGGGACCGGTGGTTTAGTCATCAATCTTTAGTTTAGCGGGTGTAGATACCTCATATCGATGTTCCGCCCAACAATTTGATCACTGTGCATCAGAGGAACATAGGATCAATCTCAAGTCAATCTAATGAACCAAATACTTACTACCAAATAGTTCAATTGAAGAGCAAATGAGACTGTAACTCAACCATTTTCATATACAGTAAAGACGATTCCACCGGCCAAACTTAATCTCACTAATCTAGGAGTAGTACCTTTCCAAAATCGACTGACACCTTCGAATTTGAAGATTTGATATGCACAATCGAATGAGTTGACATACTTTGTTTTAGCTTCAAGTGATTGCATCCGAGTCTTGATCACACTAAACAATCCTCACCAGAATGATTAAAGTAAGCATGTCAGCACATTCCCCAACAAAGACCACATTTGATCGGGAAAACTACAATGTCGAGAGGACTGAACTCTAGAGGCATAGTACAATAAACTGTCACCACACCCGCTACACCTCCTATTCCAAATGTGATCAAGGTAGGAAGTTGTTGACCAGATCGAACGTTTCCCTGAAAAAGAGATTTTAAACTACTATAAGTCGAGAACCTAACAGCAGAATTTGCACCTTGACGCATCATCTATCACCATCCCAAATTAATCAAATCACCGAAAGAAACAAAAATCAAAAGCCAAATCAAGTTAGGAATGATATAAATCCGAAAAAAAGCGAAAAGTATTAAAGTAGGAGAGCGCAGACAGACGACCGGGAATAAGCCCCTATAGATTCCAGCTAAACCTTCCATTCGTATAATCTCTCGAGTGCCTTGAACAAGACCTGAGAAACGAGGTTTAGGTTGCATAGACTCATTGACGAGTTTGGTCTTGATTGTTTCAGATGGTGTGACAGCGATGATGGCTTCTAGCATACCAGCCCCCAAACCAGCTAGAAGAGATCGTGGACCAGTGAGTCTACCCTGGGGTGAATGAGACGTAGGTTAAGTACTTTGGTCAAGGAAGAATAAATGAGAATGAAGAGAAGCGTACTTGATCATCAGCAAGCATTGACTTGAATTTGTCATAACTTAAAAACCTGACTCCAGCTTTTAAACCATTTCCAATGACTAGAGCTGAGCAACCTGAATATAGTCCTCGGATTCCATCTTTTGCTACAGTGGATCGAAGGATCTGGATCGGACTTGGTGGCTGGGGAACATGTCGTGAGAAAGACGAAAGAAATGAAGAGGTTAGATCAGATGAAGAGAAGAGCTCGTGATAAAATAGAAGGTTCGTCATACTCACCTTGCCATTCGTCTGGTTGGATCTGAATTGAGAACGAGTTTTGACAAATTCGGTAGGATACTAACGCCCAACGCGTGGATGATTAAAGGAATCAAAAAAAAGTAGTCTTTGTCAATTTTTCATTCAACTTCTTTGATGACGCGGTGGGATAAGAAATGATGACTATAAACTGACTGTCACAAAGCCTTCGACCGAACCAGCAACAGCTCCAGCAAAGAGGGCAGCCGCAGGATTTGTCTGTGGTGGTAGGAAATGAGACCACATTCATCAGTTGAGTTTCAGTTCTTGATGGAACGGAGAAAGATATAACGAACCTTTGAGCTTGACTTTGATGTTCCCGATGACATTTTCCTTCGGTTTGATGGTAGTGCGACTGGAGTTCAAGTGGGATCTGATTGGTGGATTATTGATCGTGATGTGAAGGCAGACAGAGGCAGACACACCGACGGGCTGCTAAAAGAAAAGCCCGAAACTGAAATCAGCTTCAAAACAAAAGCCCCACTAATTTCAATTTGCGTGTCAAAACTCGATGTCAGTGGAGTTTGAACCCCTCAAAGCGCCAATCAAAACGAGCCATCAAACAACAGCGCTGAAAAACGCCTGATGGTGTTTGATGGTACATTTTTTCATCCAAGTTTTCACCTTTCCCTGAGGAAGTCGAACCATGTAATTGCTCATGCCTACCACACATGGTCTCCCTAGTCATGAGCAAGCAAGGACCACCTCGAACGCACTATGCACTATGTAAGGTCGTTCTCATTTGCACTTGGACAGTCTGCCCAAAATCGCAACTGAGTGATTTTTCACCGGGACAGTTTCCTCTCCTCACACTACAAAAAATATAACATTTTCTGGGCAGAAAACATAAATATTGATCAACAAAGAGAATGAGTGGTCAGGAAGAAGACAAACTACACAAAAAAATATTTATATTACTGTCTTCCCAGTGTTGAGGGACCCTGGAAAGCCGCTATGGCCACCTATATCGATGCTGATTGGAAGTTTCAGACTCGGCACCTCACGCTCAAAATGGTCACCTGGCACCACGCCGGCCGTCTTCTTGCACAGCCAGTAGGAAGGTTGTTAATTACAAACACCTTGTATCACAAGATAAGTCTTTAATCTATTCTTTCTTAGTGTCTTTGTTTTATCATCTTTTTTTGATCTTTTTTAAGCTTTTTCCAACCAACCATCATCGTCTGGCTACTTACATGTTAGCTCAGACGACTGATTCCGGCAGTTCAAATGCTACTATGGCAAACGAGCTATCAACCATGTTCAGTGAAGCTGACAATCCGGTGCATTGGGACTCGGCTGCCAACCAGGTCAAGTGTTATACACACAAGATTGGCCTGGTTGTCAAAGCAGCCCTCAAGGCCTTAGGTTTACGTGCTGGGCACAGTAAACCTACCACCTCACCTGGTGTTACATTACCAGCGCCTACTATGTCACTCAATGAGGGTGATGAAGACCTTCAGTTTGATTCATCGGATGAGGACCAAGACAATGCAGATCTAGACAAAGAATCGAGTGATCCGCCATTCGACAGCACCTCGGATCTTGACTCCGACAATGGTGGAAAGGACTCCAACATTGCTATGGCTGTACGCAAAGTAAGGCTATCTTTCATTTTGAATCATGTTTTTCCAAGATGTCTGGCCTATACTGACATGCTATCTCATTTTCTGATGTAGGCCAAAAAATTCAACGGTTTATGTACCACAACCTCAGCTAGGTGTCAAGAATTTATAGCTAAGGCCGAACAGTTGGAGTACAAGGGCCGTTCCCCAATCTCAGGCTGGGGAGTGCGCTGGAATGTTGACGCTGACTACGTCAAGAGATTGTCTGATGCACGTGATGTAAGTCCCATTCACTTACCCTTCCATTATTTTTCTTCATCTCTTTATCTTTTTTTGTTTTGCTTTTGTTTGTTAGGTTGTGGATGTGATTCTCCTCAGCAATTGCAAAACTCATCATTACCAAGGCTTAGACATAACCAGTGGTGAATTGAGATTTTGGTCAAGATACTGGAGGTGAGTTTTTTCATCATTCACGTTATCTTTCACTTTAGTTATGTTTTTTAACATCTGTATCTCTGCACAGGTCTTTCTGTATGCAACCAAACACATGGAACATGATTCTCCAACTGGCTGTATCTTGCTTGCTGAATACTCATGTATCATCCTTGAGGTTACTCGGCTTCTGGACAACTGCATTGACCCAGACCTCAAGCACATGCTCCAGTTGATGTGTACTGATAATGAAGGTTATCAAGATGAAGCAGTTGCCTCAGACATGATTGTCTTGAGTACCATCTTCAATCCTCAATTCCGAATCCGATTCTTTGACTTTAATTATCCCGACGAGGTGGTCCAAGCCAAACATCTGTTTACATCTGTTGTCAACAAAGCCCTTGATGACTGGCCTGAAGATCCTACTAGCTCAGAATCCAAAGACGTACCTCAAACCCCACCCTCTTCCTTTTCACATTCCCCTAACTTTCCCGACTTTGATGTCTTTACCACTCAAGTAACTTCTCAATTGGCTTCCAACAAACGCTTGAACAAATGGGTCAAGTATGTCAAAGGTGTCCACTTATTACTTGCTGGTCAAGATGAACTTGGTTGGTGGAAGTTCAGTTGGTCTTTTGCTTTCACTTACTCAATTATATTTCATCTGATAGTGTTTCTTATTTCTAGGAGCATGCAAAAGATTTCCCTGTACTTGCAACCCTGGCCTGTAATTACCTGTGTTACCAGGCACGTCTTGCCCATGTGAACGCACCTTTTTTTCTGTGGCGGATATTGCCATTCCTGGTTGTGCATCATGAATCAGTAAGATGATTTAGAAGCTGGTAGAAGTGCGCAAGTGGTTGAAGTCAAAGATATCACTATCAGGTCAATTTGCTGAAGCTTCAGCTTATATCCTAGCTTTCAAATCTTTGGACACAAAGACTAAGAAGAATTAGGTTATCTGTCAACTGAGAGGAATTCTGCTCCGCAGAATTCCCATTACAGTTGCAACAGAAATCACATGCTTTGCTAAAAGCATCTTAAGAATAAAACTAAAAACATAAAAAAACCTGGTTCAGGACAAGAACCTTTACACCTCTAACACTCAAGTCTCAAGAGTGCAAATTTAACAGTTACCTTAAGAAAAAACCAAAAAACTAGAAACAATGTCGAGGACAATATTTTGAACCCTTCTCCTCGATTTGACCCGGTAACAATTTAAAATTACAATCAAAACTAAATAAGGGTCCAATGACCTCATAAACTTGACCAAGTAATTCCAACTAGGCAAATAGCAACCAGACCCAGGCCGAAACAGTGACAACGTCACCCGGCCTAAAATTCTATTCCCTAGACCAACTAAAAAAGAAAATGAAATCTCTCCTTTAAATATAACCTCGCTTTTGCAAAGCAAAGAACAAGGATCATCTTTTTTACAACCAAACCAAAAATTACAAGTTACTTCTTTAAAAACTGTTTTCCATTTTAGAAAAAGATCACATCTTTCATCTCCAAGTTCGAAACTCCTGTTACACTTTTTAGAATCTAGATAGAATCTACTTCTTCACTTTATAACATCAGTTTCCCACTCTTATTCTCTCTTCTCTATCTTTTCTCTCTTATCTCCAATAAATAAACTAGGACGTTAAAGATCACGATAGTAGTAACTATCTTTGACTAAAGTTCCTTTCAATTTACATTTTTTTGATAAAAGATCTGTTTTATCAAACCAACACTGAAGCATCACCCTAAGGAATAGCTTGCGTCTTTTTTAACTAAAAACATATTCACCTTGGAAGAAAATAAAAGTGATTGCACTTTTATTTTAAATACTGGCAGTGGTTTTTATCCCGCACCTAAGACAGAATATAACTAACAATTGTATTCTTTTTTCTACTCACAAAGAACTTGAAAAATAATCTCCCTCCAGTTTCGAATAACAAATTGTGTAAAACTCGATAGAATACATTTTGTGAGTACTGTTCAGCACTGCTTCATTTCAAGTTTACCCCAGCTTGAAGTCTCAGGCTGACATTATCATTTCTTCAAGATATTGTATTTTTTCTCCAATTTCTATTCACTTTCTCTTTTTCCCTCTCTACCCCATAAAATCCTCTGTCTGCCTCTGATCATGTGGTAGATTGTGAGGGTTGGGTGCTCTGCTGAGGACTCAAGACTCACTAAATGGGCAAGTGAAGGTTTGTAAATTTTAAATAATTGTCTTTATATTTCAATTATATAGTAATTACAATAGAAATTTATGAAAGAAAGAGAAAAGGGGGAGGAGGACTGGTCTGTTTGGATAAACCCAGACAGACTACTGCTAAATGAATGCTTAAAAGGATATTTAAATTATAATTATAATTAATGAAAACTGGATCCAAGGTTTTCCTTCAAACTTCTATTGACAGAATGAAGAGTGAGGTCTAGATCACTACACTGGTTGTTCTTATGCTCACCAACCTAAGTACTTGTATATAGGCCACTACCCTGTGAGTTGTTGAAGGTCACAAACCTAGTAAAGAATCTACTTGGGGAAAGTAGAGGATCCAGAAGAGTGAAGGGTGTGTTACTTACTTTTAGTCAGGAAGCTGTCTAAAGTATATGAAATAAATCACTAGTCTTATTATATAAGACTCTTGATTGTGTAATTCAATATTACTTTAAAGTTGTTCTCTAAAAGTGGTATGTAATAAAAGCTTAGGGGAAAATCTCTGAAGGCTGAGAGAGGAGGAGTTTATATAATCTCCTCTCCAAACCTAACTGTAGTGATATTTGTTTGTATCACTACTGTGGTTTAGGGTTGAATTATTACTATTAGTTATGATTATTATTAATACTATATAATTACATATACATGTTATGTAAGTTATGTAGTATAAGCATATTAACTCTTGACACTGAGTTATGAGGTGTAATTGGTGTTTTGCTACATATTACATATGATTTTAAATGTATATGTATATGTACTTGATGTTTATATATGTTCTATTATATGTTACGTGTGTTTTATAAGCTGTATGTACATGTAATTAGGTTTATAAGTGGAAATTATATATTATAAGTTAGTTTTGGGTACATGTATATGTACTCAGGGCTGACATAGATACAGCTATGTAATCATAAATAGCTCTCAAAAATGAAACAAATTGTCAATGTTTCCCATTACTTTCTCTTTTGGCTTCTCAAGTTGTGTGTGTGATTCTTTAGTTTTTTAAAACTTTGTGTTCTTTCTTTCATACCTTGTACATC